AAAAAAAAAAAAAAAAAAAAAAAAAAAAAACCTCTCAAGGTACAAGGAGCCAAATGTTACTGTTACCAATTTCTTCCATATTAATTCTGATGAGCTTTTTGAGGAAATGTTCAGTCTCATTGAGATACCAAATATATTTCCCAGGTCCAGATAAGCCTCTAAGAATCAGCCTCAAACATTTTTAAATAAAAATAAAACTTAAAACAATTTCACTCATTCTATGGTTTAAAGAGCTGCAAATAATAGGCAAAGCTTTGAAGATGTGCTGAGACATTAACAATGAGCAATCCACTTCTCTCTTCTGCAAACATGCAGAACTACAAGAATGAAAGGGAAAGAAAGAATGCCTTGAATGTTTGACATTCCACAAGCCTAAGGAGTCTGTGAATGTAGCCTTCTCCGAAACAGTTTTTCATCCTTCAAGCTGAAGCCACCTGTCCAGGTGAGTGAAGCTAATACCCACCCGACTTCACTTAGACAACAGTATGACTAGTGTTTTAGAATTTTCTGATTGTGACTACTCTGTTTCATAAGTTTTGTTCAAATTCATCACTAACTTAAGAGGAAAATGTAAGTTCCTATAACTGTCATTTCCCAACCACTAATTAAGTTATTTGACTTGAAGCACAACTTGCAATAATGCTCTGTAAGCATTTCTTTAGCCCCATCATCCAAAGGGGATGCTTTCATCTCATTTATTTCATCTTATCTCACTTTTGACATGACCCTGTGCTCAGATTAGAAAAACAAACGAACCAAGTGGCAACAGCATTAGCAGTGAAAAACAACATTATCCAGAGTTGTGAAGCTGACTTGATCTTATAAAAGTATTGCTTTTATAAGATACTGTTGTTTTCAAAAGGAAACCAGAAAAGAAATATCGATGATTAGAAATAACATTTTTTTCTATAAGTTTGTTCTTTGTCACACCAAATAAATAGGTGTCACAAAACAGAATAAAAAACCAATGATGGGTCAAAGTTAAAGAAATGGATAGATGGCTGGGTGCAGCTCATGCCTGTAATCCCAGCATTTTGGGAGGTGAATACAGGAGGTTCACTTGAACCCAGGAGTTCAAGATCAGTCTCAGCAACATGGCAACACTCCCTCTCTCAAAAATAAAGATTAGCTAGTCATGGTGGTATGCACTTATAGTCCCAGCTACTCAGGAGGCTGGGGTGGGAGGATCACCTGAGTCCAGGAGGTTGAGGCCGCAGTGAGCCGTGTTCACACCGCTGTATTCTAGTCTGGGCAAGAGAGCAAGATTCTGTCTGAAAAAGAAAAAAAATGGACAGAACATAATACTTCACTTTATATTCCAAATGAATTCAGGACTGGAATTGGGGGCCAAATTCAAATCTATTTATGGTTTCATGAATCTTTCCTATGTGGGTATCGCAAAAGTGATTTCATCTGTCCGTCACCAGTTGTATGAAAAATATCAGCTGTACCCTGCAATGACCTAAAATCAAACTGAAACTCCAGCGATGGACAGGCAGGACCATACACTATTAATTCAATAAATGTTCTTAGGTAAATAAGACACAGAGCCAACAACAACAGAAATTACATGGGGCAGGAGGTGGGGTGGGGTGGATCTAGACATATAAACAGATGCTCACAACAGTGTGGCTGGTCTCTGATGGGGAGGGTCAGATGCTGTGGAGGCAAGAGAATTGGGAAGTGTGCTTTAACTACCTGAAGAGAGGGAGGAGCCTACAACAGTGAAGATGCATGCTGGTAAGGCTCTGGTGGAGGAACGGAAAGAAAGTCAGCATGGCTGCAGCCAAACAGCTCAGGCTTTATCCTAAGAGCTCCAGGTAATCCCTAAAGGGTCTTAAGCAGGGAAGAAGTATAAACAGATACAGGTCTAGGAAAGATTACTTTGGCTGACCATAGAGACATAAGACGACAAAGGAGTGCTTAGAGGGACTCCAGGAAAAGAAGAGATGGAAGCCCACATCAGGGAAATGGAGAAAACTGGAAAAGGAGAAGCAAGAAGATTCTGCAACTGGCTAAATTGGACAGGGGGCACTGGATAAGCAGAAAGGCAGAGCCAAGGATCACAGGCAGACACTGAGCTTCAGTGTCTGCCTGTAATCCTCACTACAGCAGAGTACAGCAGGCCTCAAGGCTGAGAAGTCCTACTCTGGACATTTTGTTCCAGGTACCTGTGGGATATTAAAGTGGGCAGGTCCCAACAGATGGATTTAGAAATCTGAAGCTCAAGAAAGGTCTGGATTCGAGATTTGGAAATTTGGCATGAAATCACTGGGGAAAAAGCAAGTGGAATAAGAAGAGCAGAGTATCTTGAGCAGAACTCTAAGAAACTCAACAGCAAAGGGACAAGGAGTACCCCCTAGAAGGGACTGTGAAGGAAGAGGTAGAGCAGGAGGTAAACCAGGAGAGCAGAGTGTCAGAGGCCTGGGGACTTGAGCATCACAGGCAAGAGGGACGCTAGTGTTGAATGCTGCTGAAACACCAAACAAGGGAAGGGTTGAGAAACTTCCATTGGGTATAACAAGGAGAATTACCAGCGACCTTAACAAGAACAGTTTCATGGAGGTTGTAGGTGGATGAAGCCAGATTACAGCAGGTTGAGGCATATTTGAAAGGAGAAGGAAACCATGAGTATAAACAACTTGTTCAAGAAATTTCACTCAGAAGGAAAAAAGAGAAATCAGGTAGTAATCATAGAATGAGACAGAGTTGCAGGACATTTTCTGTTAACCTTTTAATGTAAACATTGTTAGAGACTTGAACATGTTTAAGCTAATGGGAAGAAGCCATTAAAAAGATCAAAGAGGAGAGGACATAACAACTCAATGAGGTTCTTAAGAAAGTAGCAGGGAACGGGATCTGAAGCAGAAGTGCAAGAGATGGGCTGGGCGTGGGGGCTCATGCCTGTAATGGTAGTACTTTGGGAGGCCAAGGCAGGTGGATCACTTGAGGTCAGGAGTTCGAGACCAGCAAGGCCAACAAGGTGAAACCCCTTCTCTACTAAAAATACAAAAATTAGCTGGGTGTGGTGGTGGGTACCTGTAATCTCAGATACTCTGGAGGCTGAGGCAAGGGGAATCCCCTGAACCTGGGAGACAGAGGTTGCCCAGGTTCACACCATTGAGCCAAGATCACACCATTGCACTCCAGCCTGGGCAACAGGAACGCAACCCCATCTCAAAAAAACAAAAAGAAGTAGTGCAAGAGAAACTGTAGAAGGGGCAAGTCTTCCCTTTCTTCCCTCCACAAGAGGAGGAGGAAAGGATGAATATGAATGAAAGCCAGTTTAAAGGTTAGGAAGCCAGATGCTGGAGGCATACTCATTCTCTCATTCTCATTCTCTCTCTCTCTCCACTAGACTGCATTTTACATGCCCACCAGCAATGTACAACAGTGCTGCTTTCTCCAATATTTACTGTATGTCTTTTGTATTATACTCATCCTAATGGATGGGAGGTGGTATCTCGTTGTGGTTTTGATTGGCATTTGGGGACATTCTCTTCTGAGGTCACCTATTTTTCCCTGTGAAGAAAGAGGTAGGCTTTTTGTTGAGAGTAAGAGGGGAGGTGGCAATAAAAAGTGGAGTGGAGGCCAAGTGCGGTTGCTCATGCCTGTAATCCCAACACTTTTGGAGGTGGGAGAATTGCTTGAGGCTAGAAGTTCAAGACCAGCCTGGGCAACATAGGGAGACCCTGTCTCTACAAAACATAAAAAAATTAGCTGAATGTGGTGGTGCACACCTGTGGACCCAGCTACTTGGGAGTGCGGAGGATGACTTGAGCCTGGGAGGTTGAGCTATGATCACACGCCACTGTACTCCAGTACTCCGGCATGGGGGCGACAAAGTAAGACCCTGCCTAAAAAAAAAAAAAAAAGGAGGGAGTGGAGCAATTGGGGAAAAAAGTGGAGAAGTCTGAAGCAGTCACTGAGGAGGATGGGAAAGAGAGCTGAGCAAAGAAACCTAGCAGGATAGTAAGACTGAGCCCAGAGAAAACTAGAGACCAGTCTAAGTCTCCTGTGAGCTTTTCTACCCCAGGAAAGAGGTGTGCTTTTTCATGTTTTTTAAAATCTGATCTAACACATAATTGATTTATATAATTATTTCATTAACTGATCTCCTCTTCTAAGTCAATTCTGGCTAAATTCAGACAATACTCACCATACCCCTCTTGTGCATTCTTAAGGATGTACATAATATATAATCTTTTTTTTTTTGAGATACAGTCTCACTCTGCTGCCCAGGCTGGAGTGTAGTGGCACAATCTCGGCTTGCTGCAATCTCCGTCTCCCCAGCTCAAACAATTCTCATGCCTCAGCCTCCTGAGTAGCTGGGATTACAGGCACCTGCTGCCAGGCTCAGCTAATTTTTGTAATTTTGTAGAAATGGGGTTTCGCCATGTTGGCCAATCTGGTCTCGAACTCCTGGCCTCATGTAATCTGCCCGCCTCAACCTCCCAAAGTGCTGGGATTACAGGTGTAAGCCACCACACCTGGCCAATATGTAATATTTTTAACTTTTTTAAAAACCAGAGAATATTTTGAAATGTGTTCTAATGCCCTGCCTGGACTCTAGACTCTGTAAGGCCCCAGCTTTCTTTCCTGTGCATAACTTATTGTTTGATGTAGTGCACACAGAAGGAATATCATCATCATCATAAAGGTCTTTCACTTTGCTTCACAGTTTCATCTACCCCACAATGACCAGCAGGAAAAGAAGAATACTGTTTCAGACTTCCCAGCTCCCATATATTAGGTGGAGCCACGTTCTCGCTGCAGCATACAGGCACTCTTTAATTTTAAAATTTTCAAAGAATTTTTTTTAAAGCTGCAAGCTTGACAGCTTTGGATTTTTATGGCCATTTGTTTTCTGAAGTTCACAGAATTTTATCATTTAGATCACACACATAAAAAATCACTTGCAAAAACTCTCTTTAAAGATTAATATGCTTACTCTTCAAGAAAAGCAGTAGAAGAAAAAGAATTCGTCTAGACTATTAATAAATAGACTGGTATTCACACAACGGATTAAATGGATTAAAATCCATCCCACAGATGAACTGTTATATTAATAGAATCTAAATATAGTTACATCCTCGACCCTGAAAGCAGTTTACAGGGGTGAAATTCACCCAGTGCTCACCTGAAATGACTAAAGTTTAAAGCACCTATAAACTGCCCTCAGGGTTCAATCATTTTTCCATTGCTTCCCGCATTATACAGTTTGACGTTTTAATATTAGCCCACAGTATACACCAGTTTCAGAAACTCAGTTTTTGTCCTCTAAGGGTTTTAATCCTCCCAAAAAAAGAATAGGGCAAAGGCAAAGAAGATCATGAATCTGGTTTTCTAAAAGCATTATTACAAGATTGCTTTGTAAGATTGTAATCCCCAGCTGCAGAGAGTTCCGCAGATGGCTTGGAAGTGTCTCATATGCAAATAAATTAAAAAACAAAAGAGCACTTATGAGAGCAGAACAGAGCGTGCTCGATAGTCACCTTAAACAGCAGGTAGGTACTTTCATCAGAGACAGGACTAAGGGGAACGTCATTCACTCAGCTCACCGCACGCCTGGATAAAGGTCCCCACCAACAGGATCCCCGCTTTTGTGGATTCCGGGTCGTGGGGGAAAGAGAAACGATAAATAATACGGTTTGTGACAGCACTACCGTCAGGAGGCGAAGGAGAGATGCTAAGATCTTGGAAAGGGCAGAATGAGGATGACGGCACCCACAGCAGTGAGCCTTCAGCTACAAGCAAAATCGAGTTCATGCAGCTCCAAAAAAATAAATAAATAAAAGAGGGAGCAGGGAAAACTTTCCGTCGCCTCTGCCCACCCTTCCCTCCTCCTCGCAGGAGAGCACATTAGCTGAGGTGCTGGCGGGGCCGGGCCGGGGACCCCATCCCTCGCCCGGGACGCAGCGCCTGCGGGGCCGGCCGGGGAGCCGGAGCTAGGGAGGCGGAAGGTGGCGGGGTAACGGGGCACACCCGGCCCGGCCTGCGGAGAAGGGAAGCAGGGGAAGGGCCGGGGGAAAGCGGCCTACGCGAGCTCGACCCCGCGCCCAGACGCTACCTGCGGGGCCAGCTGCTGCCGCGCCGTCCCGCGGGACCGCAGGGATCTCCAAAGCTCCAGCGGGCGCAGAAGCGCGAGAGAGCCGCGGTGCCCACCGGCGGCAAAGGGGAGGAGCGCCCGGGCGCGGGACTCGCCGGGTCACGTGGCCCCGGTCGCCTCACGTGACCCGGCTCAGCGCGCGCCCGGGACGCCACCCAGCCCGGCAGCCCGCTCGGCCCGGGCCCCGGCCCCGGCCGAACCTAGACCCCGACTTCTCCACAAGCCGATTGGCCGTCTGAGGCCCGCCCCGAGGCCCTGCCACCGGAGAGTCCCGGTGAAACTCGGTGGCTGCTGCCGGGACTCACAGGCTTTTGTCTCGAAGGAACCAGGAACGCGCGAGGTGCGGGCTCGTGCTGTGCTCCCTGGGATGGCTTGGCTGTGGGGAGGGTCGGCCTCCCACCCCTAAAGGCCTAAGACGGAAAAGCGACCGAGAAATTTAGCTCCTTGCCCACTTTAGGGCGCACCTGGCCCCGGGCACCACCCAGGTGGTGCTGCCTGGGGCTGAAGACCGCGGAGCTGAGACGCGTTTGTTTCACCTGGAGACGCGCCTCTCCCTCCCCGCCCCCACCTCCTGATTGAAAGCACCTAAGGCAGGCCAGGGGCTAGGGAAGGCGGCAGCTGGACAAAGTTAAGAAGGAAGGAGGAGATGAGGCACAGGTCCTGGTATTGGAAGGAGGGCAGAGGTACCTCAGAAGCAGGCCATCGAGGTTGGAAGGGACCCATGAGGGCATCTGATCCAACCCGATTCCTGTTACCAGTGAGTAAACTGAGGCTGGGAGTCGGACTGCTACGAGACGCTCCAGCCTATCACCTATTAAGATCATAGTCACCTTTATAAAATACCGTACAGCTCTCGGAGAACTCCCAGTTGGCGCTGCAGGATAAAATCCAAACTTGCTGGCACAGCATTCCAGGCACTCTTGTTCAAACGTACCTTTCCCATTTGAGCTTCTAGGAATAAACAGAAAAACATTTCATTTTCTAAATAGCACCAGACAGCTTCACTTTTGGTAACGAGTTCACACTGAGGTCTCGGGGTAACTAGGGGAAGGACAGCGGAGGGTGGGGAGTTGGGGAGGGATAACATGGGAAGAAAGGCAGCAAACCACACTGCCATATATGTACCTATGCAACAATCCTGCATGTTCTTCACAGGTACCCCAAAACCTAAAACGCAAAATATTTTTGTTTTAATTTAAATAAATAATTTTTTTTTAAAGCCCTATTCTCTCCCATCTCTTGCCACTTCCTCAACATTGCTGGAGACTCTGGCTACGAAGAAGTTCTGTTTTCCTTGACTATCCAACTTTCTATGGATTATTTACTTTTTCCCTAAGTTTCTTTACTCCTTTTCGCTTTGTTCATTCTTTTGTCTCTATCTAAAATGTCCTGAATCACCACCTCCCCCACTTAAAGAAAACCAGAGCTAGGCAGTAGCTAAAATTGTAAAGGATGTTATTAAACTAATGCAATAAGAGAATTGAGCTCAGTTCTGTATCTATTCTGAGGTCTCCCCGCTGTTGCACTAGTTCCTAAATAAAATGTTTTTACCACTTCAACTACTGCTTGGCTCTGGTTTTCTTTAACAGCCTCCAAAGTACACATCAGTTTCCTACTCATCTTTCAAAATCCAGGTCAAATACTGCCTACTCTTGGCTTCCCTGCATCCTCTTCCCTGATTTTTTTTAGCAATTGAAGTTCATTCAGACAGTGTCAGCTGCAACTTCCTCCCTGATATCCAGAATACTATATATATTCTGATACACCTCACATTGTACAGAAAAAGACTGCACATTTCCTGTAAGAGGTGAATTATCTATTGCTGTCTTCTCCCCTAGATTATAAACTCTTTGAAACAGGACTCTGCTGGGTTTAGAACAGTGCCTGGGATGTGATAGACCCTTAATATGCACTGAATGAAGTGGCTTGTCCAAAGTAGTGACAGTTCAGTGAATTTACTAGAAGAGGCCTATTTAGCTCAAAGAAACTGTAATCAGTTTCTTTTGGATGCAACCTGATCAAAAGAACTTCTGTAAAACATGTTTGAGAGAAAAGCGAGGGCATGGGGTATGAGTCATCAAATATGTCCCAAGCGCTCACTGCTTATGCGTCAGATGCCATACCTGGAGCATCTTGGAAGATAAAAGCTGAATGAGACATGATTGCTGATAAGGAATGTGTAGTCTGGTTCATTATTCCAGTACAGGGTGAAAAATATCATGATACAAGGCACTAAGTGAACACAAACCAGGGACCACAAATCAGGGAGTCAGGGAGAAACTTCGTGGGAAAGCCAATTTGGAGGACAGGAAGTAGACAAGAAGAGAGGAAGAAACATTCCAGAGAGGGCAGTGTTCAAAGGTGGTGAGGCATGAAACAGTACTATTTGTTTAGTAAAAAAAACAAGTAGGTAGGTGCAGTGGCTCACACCTGTAATCCCAGCAGTTTGGGAGGCCAAGGCAGGCAGATCACTTGAGGCTAAGAGTTCAACACCAGCTTGACCAACTTGGCAAAACCCTGTCTCTACTAAAAATACAAAAATTAGCCAGCTGTGGTGGTGCATGCCTGTAATCCCAGCTACCCAGGAGGCTGAGGCACAAAAATCACTCGAACCCAGGAGGCAGAGGTTGTAGTGAGCAAAGATTGCAGCGCTGCACTCCAGCCTGGGTGACAGAGTGAGACTCTGTCTCAAAAAACAAAAACAAGTAACCCTATATTGATGCCTTGATGACTTCATTTACCTCTACGATGAAGGAAACCTAATTAGGTTAATTTTAATATACTTGAAAGAATGACACATTTACTGGTATAGGTGTAATTTACTGTATTGAATAACTTTCTGTCAGGCAGTTCATAGGATCTGCATCTAAAATTGGCATAGGCCAGGTGCAGTGGCTCACGCCTGTAATCCCAACACTTTGGGAGGCTAAGGCAGGTGGATCGCTTGAGCCCAGAAGTTCGAGACCAGCCTGTGCAACATAGCAAGACCATGTCCCTATAAATAAATAAGAATAAAACTGGCCTGGACTAGCATGAGGTGATTTTTAACCTTTTTATTCAGCCTCAAAAGCTTTCTATGATTATTATCTAAAAATAGCAAAATTACTTGTTCCAAAGAAGATGATGACTTTTTTTTGAGACAGGGTATTGCTCTGTCACTCAAGCTGTGCATGGCATGATCATAACTCACTGCAGCTTTAACCTCCATGGGCTAAAGTGATCTTCCCACCTTAGCCTCCTGAGCAGTTGGGACCACAGTTTAGTGCCACCAGGCTGGGCTAATTTGTATTTTCTGTAGAGACAGGGTTTGCCATGTTCTCCAGGCTGGTCTCGAACTCCTGAGCTCAAGCAGTCTGCCCACCTTGGCCTCCCAATGTGCTAGGATCATAGGTGTGAGCCACCACACCTGGCCCCAAAGATTAATTTAGAGTACTCTAAACTCTCCCTACAGGGCAAAATAATTCAATGTACAGGTAACACTTTAAGATAGAAACTAGCTTCACCTCCTGCATATGGAAGGGGAAAAGCATTCCTCTTAATGCTAATGCATGATTATGCTGGGAAAATTACCTGTCAAGAACCTAATAAAATATTGCAAGATTTGTCTGGGCATGGTGGCTCACACCAATAATGGGAGGCCGAGACAGGCAGATCACTTGAGGTCAGGAGTTTGATACCAGCCTGGCCAACTTGGTGAAACCCTATCCCCACAAAAATACAAAAATTAGCTGGGTGTGGTGACAGGCATCTGTAATCCCAGGTACTCAGGAGGCTGAGGTGGGAGAATTGCTTGAACCTGGGAAGCAGAGTTTGCAGTGAGTCGAGATCACACCATTGCACTCCATCCAGCCTGGGCAACAGAGTAAGACTCCATTTCAAAAATTTAATTAAAAATTTAAAAATTAATAAAATTGTTTCCTTGTCCTTTAGCAGGCAAAATAGCTTGTTGTGTGTGTGTGTGTGTGCATGCGTGTGTGTGTTTTGTTTTTTGACACAGGGTCTTGCTCTGTCACCCAGGCTAGAGTGCTGTGTCATGATCTCGGCTCACTGCAACCTCCACCTCCTGGGCTTGAGCAATCTTCCCACCTCAGCTTCCCAAGTAGGACTACAGATGCACACTACCACACCTGGCTACTTTTGTTTATTGTTTGTAGACACAGGATCTCACTGTTTTGCCCAGGCTGGTAGTGAACTCCTTAACACAAGTGATCCTCCTGCCTCACCATCCCAAAGTGCTGGGATTATAGGCGTGAGCCACTGCACCCAGCCCAAGAGAGCTTCTTAATTATAGAACTTCTTCACGGTCCATGTCAGCTGACAGTGAAATGTATAATTTTTATTCATCAGCAGTCGTCCTTGTTCCACCTGCATTTAGCTGTGGTAGCACTGTGCTTTTTAGGAGGCCACCACCTTCTAGTGGGAGATATGTAGTCTCTAGTGAGACATAGAAGTTCTGACTGCAATTGACTATGAAGCAAGGCTGATCCTCTGAATGTTAATATGCATCTTGAAGACTTCTTAGAGTGACCCCAGGATGACAATTGAGGTAGTAAGAATATTCTCAGATGGGGCTTGACTCACTCATTTGGAATATTAAAGTTTAAGTTACCTGGGACAAACTCGATGACACTATGAGGAAACAACCAGAGAAATACATAACGGCGGACAACAACCCTTCCAGCCTTGGTTTCTTCAAAAAGTTAAATTTAGGGGGAAGGCCAGGCATTGGCGGCTCATGCCTGTAATCCTAACACTTTGGGAGGCCAAGATGGGCAGATCACTTGAGGTCAGGAGTTTGAAACCAGCCTAGCCAACATGGTGAAACCCCACCTCTACTAAAAATGTTTTTAAAAATTAGCCAGGTGTGGTGGTGGGCACCTGTAAACCCAGCTACTTGGGAGGCTGAGGCAGTAGAATCACTTGAACCCAGGAGACGGAGATTGCAGTGAGCTGAGATGGCGCCATTGCACTCCAGCCCGGGCAACACGAGCGCAACTCCATCTCAAAAAAATTAGAATTAAAAAAAAATGTGGGAGGAAAAAAAGAGGGAGACTGTTCTAGATTAAAAGAGCCTAAAGAGGTAGGAGCTGCCGCTGCGCTCAGAGCTTGCAGGCCCCGC